GTTTTTTTTTTTTTTTTTTTTTTTTTTTACCCTTAAGCTTTTAAACTGAAATTGTGAATCTCCAGAACGTACATATCCTGTCGAAGAGTTGGGGCTAGTCAATCCAGATTTTTCACTGAATCAGTGCTTCACCTTTTGAATGATCAAAGACTCCATCAGCACAGTCTAAGTCGCCATAAATTTTTGTGTTTTGATCCATGCTCACAGAAATATTGTATATTATGTAGACAGATCAACATATTTTCACTCTCTCATGCTGAAAGCAGAGAATTTCTTGCAATTTTTATAAACAGATGTGATATCAGGGCTGCCTTCAGAGACTTCCCCGAGTCCCTTTGGAGAGCTGCATACCTTTCTGCCTTGGAGCTTACCCCGATGATCTGTCAGGTCCCGAAGGATGCTCCACGTAGTGTTTTCTTAGGTAGGTGGAATGAATCTCTCTCGTAGGTCTCTGCCTTTAATGTTGGGTCCGCAAACCTCAGAACAGAAAACCACTGAGGAAAGCAAAGCCATCAAGACCGCAACAAGCGCTCCCCAAACGCTCCCCACTTTGGCTTGGACATGCCACCAGCATCCCCGGATGGTTTTGCAAAGAGCAAATCCCCACTATGAACCGCATGGGAAGGGAGGGGAATAGATATCCATATTGACATTTTGCCCCTTTAATTCTGCATTAAAATTATAATCGCTGGTTCATCTCCATCACATGCTCCTTTTTCATCTCTCCCGTCTACATGTCTCTTGGAAGAAGCACTTAAGCCTGGATGTTGAAAGATTCTTAATGTTTCTTATGAGGTTAAATACCCCCCAGTGCTTGATGTCAGGAAAGAAAAAAAGCTCAAATTTGCCTCACCTGCTTCTTAAGTGTTGCCAGTACTTTCCAGGATTAAGCCATTATGATCTCCTTAAGCAGTCATGAAATAAAATAAACACAAGTGTGATTTTCTGGTTAAAATAAAAATTAAAAGGAGCCCACGCGCTGAGCACACATGCTTTCTGGAGTTGCGAGAGCAAGGAAGATTTATAGCCTGATTTTTAAATGCAGCTGCTTGATCTACGAGCCCCGACTTTTCTGATGTAGTTTTTGGGCTCTCGCTTTGCCATTGAGCTACTCCCCATCATTAGCAACTTTTTGCCTATTTTAACCTTCACTTTCAAAAGACTCCTGTAAACTTCCAGAGTAAGCACAGAGCAATAACTCTCTGAACTACTAAAGGAATCAAACTGATGCAATTTATTTTCACAGAACCATGCAATATTCAATGATACACTGAATCCGTGTTTTTAACACTTTTTTAAAGGACTAAAACCCTGGAAAGAATTAATTAGGCATGCTCTGAAGCCTGAGCATTTAACAGTTTTCCACTCGGTTGTAGAATTTTAAGACCACCAACACTGGATACTGGCAAAGATTATCAAAGGTATTCTGGGCTGAAATACATACTAGTCAGAGGGCTTGGCCACTAAGCAACTGGAAAATACTTCATGAAAGCTTTAGCTGTGCTATTATATTTTGTAAAGAAACTTTAAGAAAAAAATCCGTAGTATCTAGAAGGTTAAATTTGGGGCAGAGTGACTCATTGGGAAAGTATGTACACTGCACAGAATATTGTCTTCTCTGCAGATCAAGCAAATTGTTAATACATCAGAGAGGTATTTATGGTCCCAACACTGCGAAGCAGGGTTGAAGGGGATTAAAGGGCTGGGATCTGCGCAGGATCCGGCCAGAGCATGCGCACAGGGACGCGGGGCCGGCTGGAGCAGCCGCTGCAGCCACGAGCCACCCGGCCCCACACCTGCAGCTGAGCAGCATCTGGAATTGCTAGAAGCTGGGACATCCCGGCACCAGAGTGTCTCTCGTTGCGCTAAAGCGAGTTGAAAATCCGCAGTTTTGAAAAACGCACGCAAAAACGTTTCTTTTTTTTTCTACGTCAGGTAAAATTTTAGTTCCAGTTCCTGGAAGTGTCCAGATTTTGCCAAGCATTTGTGTCGCCCACTACAGTATTACAAAGAAATCTACACATGCCACGACAGCCACCATTTGGTAAGGTCCTTGGTAGCCCATAAAAATATTGCAGAGAACTCATTCTATATGATGGGAAAAACTCAAACAGAAAAAAAAGATCATCACTTAACTACCCAATGCTGAGAAACATGATGGATGCTGTACAAGACAAAGATGGAACGGGCACCCAGGTATTTCAGACAAAAGCAAGACAGTTCAGAAGCCAAAAATAAGAAAGTTAAAAAAAAAAAACAAAAAACAAACACCAAACAAACAACCCAAACCAAAGAAAACACCAAGCAAGAATTGTCCAAGGGATTTACAAACTTTCTAAAGCTTTTTTTGAAAAAAACTTGATTAAAAACTCTTCGGCAAGCAACTTGATTTATTTTTCTTTTTGCTCTCCAGCTACAGAATAAAAAAGGACTCATCTTCCGTAAATCTTTCTACAGCTATTTATTGTGCAGAACTTAAAAAGAAATTTTAAACACTGTGGACACTAAACTGCAGGCCAACAGCAGACATGTCAACCCCAGGTAGCCGAGTACCTTCAGATTCAGTTTTGGTTTTTTTTTCCCCCCCCTCATTTGCTTGTGCCAACGAACAGACCGTTTTTCTCACATGTTACGCATATTTAATTGAAATAGACGCGTAGTATGTTACAACATACTCAAATGTGTTTAAAATTACGTATTCGGAGATGGGCAGTTTTCTAAACAAAACAGACAAATCCGTGACTCCCACGCAAGATAGATTAAACTAAGAAACGAAGCAAAATTTGAATAAAGTAACTGAAGACAACAAGGTACTTATGCTAAAATCAGTAAGTACATATATACACACACACAAAAAAAAAAAAAAACAAAACACACATATAAGGCTTAAAGGTCCGGTTTTCATTTGTAATGAGGTGAATTTCCAGGGATGGGGCAGTGAAGAGTGGCCTTCAAGTCAAAATGAACTACATCAACTTATGTCAGGACACCGTAAAGGAGTCTGCTGAAATGAAAATGAGACACACACACACACACACCCCACGTCACTGCAAAGCAAACACACACAATTTTGTGTCTGTAATTTAAAATGAAAGCCTCAGCGCACCAGGCAGTGGTCCTCTACTGGAGTATTTCTGCGCACAGGAGATTGGCTCTGCAAGTCCAAAAATATCATGGAGGAGAGTATGTGAATTCCTACAGCTTCTTTTATTTTTATTTCAGGAAGAGCCACTTGTTCTGATTAAATACTCTTGGATCCTTCAATGCAGAGGAAGGAGAAGAGAAAGAAAAATGTCGATGTTTGCAGTGCTAAAACTTACCCTATCGGGTTCAGTTAAGGACACGAACGCAAAGGCTTGAAGACTTACCTGAAGTTTCAAAGAAAATGACCCCAATGTGGAGGCAGCTCTCTTCCTCGGGTACTATGCCTCGACTTTACCTGCATCTGCTCTGCACCTTTACTGGCAGAAGAGCTCCACAGCAGCCAGGTTTTGGGCCCTTTCTCTGGTGTGTCTTTCAAGGAGATGCATTCAAACCTCCTCTGCCCCTGCAGCTCTCGGTCACGGCAGCAGGAATCATCCGAGAGAGTCTTTGCAGACGTGCTGCGACCAACCAGCCACCGCTCAAGGCTGGCCCATCTATTTACGGGCTGGCACGCTCACCCCACTGGATTTGGAGCTTCCCCGTTTGATTTTTTTTTTTTTTTTTTGAGGTGAACCATTCCTTAAATAATTTCTGAAAAATCGTTAAGAAGATATTTTTCCCCTTTTAACCCAGATGTAGTAAGTTCTCATTAAAACAACTGTGTGTAGGTCTGGGACAGTTCCCCTGGTAAGACACACCACCTTATTTAACGATACGATTTAACTTTGGACTTTACATGGTTAACGTTCATAGTCAGGACCCACCAGTTCCTGAGGAGCAGAAGAGATCTTCCGCTGTTTCTGCTGTCTCTCCTGGTGGCACGCTCCATCACCTAATAAAACCTTCCTTGAGATTATAAAGTTTTTTCCTCACATAGGCTCTAAATGCTCCCTGCTGTTTAGTCTATCCCTGCTGACTAATGAGAAGATCTGATATCTCACCTTATTAAAACTTCCTTTCTTGCAGCTGTAGACAGTTTCAGCAATTTTCCCAGACTGAACAGACTAATTTTGCCTAGACGTTTCTTAGAAATTCTCTCTCAGCCGTTACCTTGCAGCGCTAGCGCTCAGCTGTGCAGCTTTTCCCCTGGTTCCCATTAAAAACCCAGCGTTGTGCAATAACCATTCAGGATATTTTGCCCCGTCCATACTGTCCTTTTCCATATGCATCTTATTTACATTATCTACACGTAGAGTAGCCATCCATAAAGCAGAGTCAGCCCCCCCATGGGAAGCCAGCAGCATCACTTGTGCTTTTACATCTCCACAGTCAGCTCTTTCTCCACTTCTTTCTTCTCCCCCCAGACCGTATCGCTGGGCTGTGACTGTGGGATGACACACACCGACTTCGACCGGTTCTCTTTCACTTCCTGAACCTTTTCTGCACTCCCCACTGCGGGAAGAGAAAAAACACCAACTTGTATGAGGAATGTTGTTCTGCGCGAGTCAACAGGAATGAAGAAATACTAAGAGCTACTGAGGTGGCCATTTGTTTACGGGGGATGAGCTATCCCACTGCAAGGATCGCTTTTTGATTATAAAAGAGAAGACAAAGCTCAGTGCTTCAAAGGAAGGAAAAAAAAAAAAAAAAAAAAAAAAAAAAAAAAAAAAGACAATTTAAACCCTACTTTAAAATATGTTACGTATTTGGATCAATATTATCATTCTTTTGCCAGTCCCCACCAACAACCGTGCAGAACAAAAACTCGTATCAGTGACTATCTTAAAATAGTGTTTCAAGATGCAGGTGTCCTACTGGAGCACCGATAACTTCATGTTATTTAGGAGAGGGAATTTGCGGGCAATCATGACAGAAGGGTTACAGCCTCCTTCAGCTCTGTATGTCGGGGGCCCTTGTGCTCACATTTTCCACGGGGCAAAAAAGCCACCTCACCCAGAAACACTGCTTTTTATCACCTTGCTCTGCTTACACTTAGGTTTTTCTTCAGGAAGAACATAGTTTAAACATTTGTAATAAACGGTGGATTAAAATAGCTACACCCCCAGCAGATGTCCATGTGAACACACAAATGCCACAGGATTGCGTTTCTTCCATCAGCTCCTGCAACCCTGTAGTAAGGTACCTCTGCGCAGAAGTGCCAGCTACTCTAGAGCTCTTTATTTAGCAAGATTTTAGTTATTTGCTTAAAGAAAATCACAAAGGAAGAAAACATTTGAAATAGGACACAAAAGGATTGAAAGGAAACTTTCTTGCTTCTTAAATATTTTTTTCAGTGCATGTGTAATAAAGAATATTCTGTATGCTAATGTTAGAACCAGCCCCTTAACCTCACGCAGGCCATATTGGGAGGCAACTTTATTGTTTTGTTGCTGTTGTTTTCAACAAATATTGAATCTTTTCAGTCATCACTTTTACAGACATGACTGTGCTGAAAGGTGCTGGGCCAAGTACTGTAAAAATTCAGTGCTCAGTTTCCCACTGAACATCTCATTGTGGTTCAGAGGCTGAAATTACTCTGTCTACAGTTTTGACTGGCTATACTGTGTGTGAGGCTTCATGGATATTAAGCCTTTTTTTTTTTTTTTTCTTTTTTAAAAGTGTGAAACCTAATCTTTCAGTTATCTAAAAACTGAGCTTGGGCTTATGAAAACATAAGGTCTTGAGCCACTGATCTTTCTTTAACAGATATTCAAAACAGACATTGCTGCTAATGGGGCACTTGGAACACATTTTAATAATACTTGGCGAGAAAAAAAAAAATAGATCTTAATTTTTGGAAAGCGTTTAGGCACAAACTTCATGTTTTGAAGTATCATTCATTTTTACAAGTTTATGCATTAGCGTCACCATAGGCTGAATGATCTGAAATTACTGCCAGACATCTTAGTGCTTGGTGGAATATGAAGAACAGTTCCAGTTTCAAATGCTTGTCTGGCTGGACATGGGAGATGAAAAAACTCTGTAAATTCACGCACCAGACAGGTAATAAGGAGGTCAAACACCTGGACTGGGACCCAGTTCTCACTATTGTGCTTCCCAGCACCACTGCCTGGTACTGGGACTGGCTGGGAGCACCTTTGCTGCCAGCAGTGCATCCCCACTACGAGGAACGATGTCTTGTGTGGGGCTGAGATGGGGCACTGGGGCTGGGAAGGCTCTTGGCTCTGCTTGCTCACACTCATGATGCTCATTTAAGGAGCCCCACTTTGTCCCCCAGGCCGGAGGGATGCCCCTGCCCGCCCTGCCTGCTGCCGCCCTGCCTGCACCACGCAGCCCGGGTCTTGCCCCTGCTGCCTGCAGCGAGGTAGGGAGGGCAGGCAGGCTTTGCCTTGTCTGCGTCCCAGATCCCAGCCCTGCAGCCGACAGGCCATGGACCTCAGCACATCCTCCCCGTCACCTTCTGGGCCATCCCTGGGGACAGAAAGGATGAGGAGGGGAGGTGGGAAATCACCACCAGGCCCCCGGCTTACCGGTGAGGGAGCGGCACAGCTTGGGCTGCGAGCTGGAGTCACCCTGCGCCAACGAGGAGTCATCTTTCTGTGATTAAGAAAGAAAAGTATTTTAATGCATGTATGAAGATTGCTAGCAAGTCTGTTAACGACACTCTTGCTTCATAAACAAGCCATTTGCGATCCCCAAGGACTCTGCTTCCATTTGTTTTACTTTTGCCAAGAAAAACAAAAAGAACTTTTGCTAAAAATAGACCGAATAGATGGCAGGAAATATTTGCAGACACTGATTTGTTTCGAGTTGGTGGAAGAGGTCTGAGCACTCCAGGAGCGATGGGGCAGATTGGATGGGAAGGAGCAGCCGTGGAGCAGGGAGGCCCAGGCAGGCGAGTGCAGGAGGCAAAGCCCATCCCCAGGACATGGACGTTTCTCACCTTGGCTGTTCCCCACCTTGGCTGCAGCCCAAGGAGGCAGGTAACGAGCTTGCACTAACGAGCTCCCTGTCCTTTCACTCCAGTGCTAATCTCCACCCTTCAGGAAAAAAAAAAAAAAAAAATCAGGTAGCATAATGCTGCCTGAATTGTTCAGTGCTTCTGTAAACTGGGAATAAGTCTCTCGCGCAGCTGTGATTTGGCACCTCAGTCCAGAAGCCCAGACTGCCAAAATAACTCTGGACACCTCCCAGCCTGGTTCTCTGTTTTGTTTCGGTTCGTTCTCCTCCCTCCCCTAACGAGGACCGATGCCCTCCATCCCTTGTTCACACTTTTATTGACCATTTTAATAACAATGCCTTCCCGGCTCCAGCAGCAGCGCCTGGCTCCCTGGAAAGCCATTCCCAGGGGCATTTAACGATTCTCAGAGCATGCTCCATGAAAGGGCTCCGACATAATTACCAAAGGCAGTATGTCATTTACGCACATGGCTTACAGGCAGCTCCAAATAAGCTCCTTCTGGGGGAGTGTACTCATGTTTTGGCAGAAGAAGAGAGGACCAAGTTGCCTGGCTACAGGTGCAAGGATTTTCTGGGTGCTCAGTGGTAAATAAAAGCCATCCTAGGTCTCAGAAACCGCCCTGCCAGTGTACTCTGTGCTGGATCCTTGCCTAAAATAAGGCGAGTCCAAATCCGGACAGCGCTCCGAGCCAGCGTGATGCACAGCTCCAGGAAGCAGAAGCCTTCGGCAGGAATTTTGTCCTTAGGCGGAGGAAGGCGAACTTTCTGCTGGAAATAGATAGTCTTGGAGTTAATCCTCTGGGCTACGATTCAGATCTGAAGTCACCTCGTAGTCTTGCCAAGGGTTTTCTGCCTGTTGTAAATCATTTAACCTGCACCGTTGGCTCGGGAGGGATGAGGATTGTTCTTTTCTGATTTCTCTCTGCCTACCCTATTTACTCTGCACCCTCCCCTTGGCAGGGGCTTCTAACGCAGCCTAAGAGTCACCTCTCACTCTTTTAGAAGCAAAGGTAGACACCTAAAGCTACGCGGGTTAGAGAGAAGAGGCGATTCCTCCTGGCTGAAGCCTGGCGTTGGCCACGGACTGGTGCCTGTCCCGGCGAGGGCACTGGTTTCTCCACACTGACTGTGGAAGGAGACAGATTTTCCATCAGGTGAGAACAACTTCACTCTTGGCTCCTCCCCAGCCTGGTGGAGCCACAAACCTATAGAAAGATGCTCTTCCATACCCACCTTATTTTTGCGGTGACTGGTACAGGGGGAAAAAGACCAAGCAGCTGCTAGTAAATCATGAGAGGAGTCTAACCGAGCTCCAACAGCTTCATATTTTAATAGCAAAGGACTGACTTCACTGAAAAGAAAAATATATACATGGCCAGCCTGCGAGCAAGGAAAAAAAAAAAAAAAAAAAAAAAAAAAAAAGCGTTTCTACTGAACCTAAAGGGATTTTTTTTAATTATTCACTCAGCTCACAACACCCGATTGACTGTATGGCCAAAGCTTTTTTTCAGAAAGACCGGCAACAGGAGACATGCAGGAGTTTCACCAGCACCAGAGGGTTTTCAGTGGCCCTCTGCTTGAAGTTCGTTTCACAGTTCCTCGATTTCCAGTTGGGTTCGCAAACACAGTTGTAATGCTTCCATCTCGTGGTGAAATGCGGAATAGAAAAACGAGTGGTGTGAGAGCATCTCGGTTTTTCTTGCTGACTCCAAACCTGGAAGGCCAAGCTCTCCCCTTTGGGACTATGAAAGATGGAGTATCTGACACTCAGAAAAATCTCAAACTCTAACTAGCTGTATTTTCCATTCATCTCTTTTATAAACAGGAAAACGTCATTTTCTTGTCAACTTGGCACGGAACCAAAACTCAGCGCCTTAATTTTTTTTTTTTTTTCAAAAAAAAATTAAAATTTTGAGCTGCTTTTAACGGGCTGAAATCTACTTTTTAGCACAGCGTTCCTTCTTTCTGCTGACAAATTCTGCAATCTGTCCTCCCACAGCATGAAATAACAGCATTCACCCACCCTCCCACCTCGTGTTAATATTCCAGGGCTCTTTTAGAACATTATCCCACCCCTTTTGGGTATCGCCTTATTTCTATTCGCAGTGAAATGAGGCAGCTATTCTGAAACATTAGCAGATAAGGTGCTGATCGCAGAAAACACGCCTGACTTTCCCTTTTGGATGCGGAGGGACACTTCTTGGACCTAGAGTCACCCTGACAGATGTCACTGGAATCGGCCACTATTTACATCTGCTTCACTTAGTCTAAGGTAGATGCTGTAAAGAGGTGTGATTAGACCTGATGACTCCTATGAGACAGCAGTACTGAGCATCAAACTGGCATTTTGCATAACCCATAGGAGCATTCGCCACCCCCGTAGGGCATCAGCCACCATCCATGAGTCAGGATAGAGACAGAGTGAATTCTCCTGCTTGTGCGACTCCCCCAAAAATATTCTGTTCTCTGACAAGCCAGCTGTCAGCATTCAAAGTAAGAGGAGAAACAGTCATCCCAAAGGTGCTAAATTCCCCACCAAACCCACCGCAGTATCTAATGGGAGCAGCGGTGAAGGGGAAAGCAGGAGCACAAGGGTTAACAATCAAATGTCCTGGAAGTATGTAACGTCGTGCTCAAAATCAGCCCGAGTTTGATGTTGTTCTTTTGAAGTTTAATTATACCAAATGTTCTACAGGAACATGCCATGTTCTTGCCTATCTATTTTGAATTGTAAGTACCAATCAGCATGTAAATGATCAAATTAAATCTTCTAAGTTGTTTTGCAAGAGCCGGAACACCTTTCTGTGAATGAAGGGCTGAGAAGCAGCGGCATTTGGTGTGTTACTGCCGTTCTCGGTGGGCTCTTCAATGACTGGCATTTGAACAAAGAAATCAGAGTGGAAGAAAGCCTGCGGCGGTCCCGAGTTCTTGTGCTGTCGTGGAAAATTACTATCTAAATAAAGAAAGATAAATTATTTCTTTTTAAAAGGTCATTCTGTTCTCCTGAGTGATGGAGTCTCGCTGCCCGGATTAGAGACCACAGTTTGCACTTGGACAGTGCTCTAGCTCAAGCCATCAAAACCTGAGACATGGAGAAGTGGGTGAAATCTAGGGATGGCTCAGAAATAATGCTGCTGACCTGGGGGCTTAGGAGAAAAATACAGGGGAGTGTGTGTGTGTGTGTGTGTGTATGTGTGTGTGTGTGTGTGTGTGTAATATCTTTTCCTCTATACCAAGATTTACAGAGGATGGGAGGAACTGAAAAGACCAAACCTGCTCCTTGTGCACCATTCTTGGCCCATTTTGTCTTTCCATGGGGGAAATATTGGCCCAGCTTCTCTCAACAATCTCCAAAGAAGTCAGCAAAAGTCTTCACCAGCCACAGACACTGTATTTACCTTGTTCCTCCTTTAATTCAGAACATGAACCAACACAGAGCTGTGCCAGCAGTAAATTTGGACTCAGAGTTGTTCTCCCAAGAATCCAATATGCAACACTTCCCTCTATTTTACTTTGTTCAAGTCTGCCCAGAACTGTAGCTGATTTTAAAAAACAAAAAGCTCACCTCCAGAATAAATAAGAAAGCTCACAATAATGCTTCTGTCCTTTCAAAAGGGG